TCCTTCTATCTCTTGCTGAAAATTGACTTCTGCAGTACTGAATCAGCAGCACTTGAGGGCAGCTTGCGGTCATTCACTCCATCTGCAACATTTCCTTCTCGTCATTTAAAAAATAAATATTCACTATTGCCAGGTGACTAGCTAAAATTGGGAGTGTTCTTAGTGGGAGTCACGAGAATGCCAGTCCTTCCATGTGGTATTGTTACCTCAAAGAACTCAAGTGTCAAGAGGTAGGCTAATTTTGCCGATGCCACAAGATGGGGCGAGAACAGAGTGAAATCCCTATTGTAGAGAGTTGAGCTTTGGAACACACCATTGGTGGTCAGTCAATCTTGCACCATGTTTCCATAATGCATGCTTCTACATCAGTGTACCACTGGTAACTGGGATTATTTCATAGATTATATAAAACATAAATATACACACAATGTACACAGACTTTTAATGTACATAAAAATGTTGATTTATCCTTTGTTTGTTTTAGAGAGAACAGTATTTAGTGAAAAGCCAGTGATTGAACTGGAGACATGGATTGATCGATATACAAAGCAGCTCCCGCCTCTCTCGAACTTCATCTTACCAGTACGTTTATCATATGATTCTCTCCTGCCACATGTACTATCGAATGCCAGTTTCCATGACACATCAAGCTACAAATTCAGGTTTGTAGCAGGTTGTTGTCGCCTTGAGGTATTTCGCAAACTGGACTGTGGATTGTGACTATAATGCACGCTGAAAATCTGTTTCTACATTGGTTATACTTGTCACACACTAAATTTAAGATTTGTATTTTTCTGTTAGTTCATGTAGCCTGCAGAGCAAGGCAGTTCCAAGAGTTCCCTAAAATCTCATCAATGGAGTTTTAAATATCTGTGGATTTATTTCCCAGTAACAGCAAGCACTGTATCTGGCCATAATAGTGTGTCAGTGCAATTGTGTACACCCTGTATGGTTGTCCTCGGAAAGGTGCCTTTGGGACCTGATATACCTCATGGAGAATTCTCTTTCAAGATGCAAACAGAATGCTGGCACAGGCCTGGTAGAAAATAATCTCTTCTTTCTTTTACTTATTCCCACCTAACTTGCATGGGGAAATCCAAATTTGTGAATTTTCTGTCTTTAAAAACACTGAAAAAGAGCATCATTTTGAAGTTTCATGTGAATTGTACGTCAAACTGCTGTGTTAAAGAAACCACTGAAAATTGACAAGGAAAGTACTAAAAAAAAATTCATACTTCAAAGGTTGTATTTCATGATCTTATTTCAAACTGAAATATATTTATTCAGCTCAAATTCTATTTTTGCATCCTTATTTATCAACTAAGGAATCTGTACCCTCGATGGCTTGACCAAGAATAGGTGTTAGACTTGTAAGTTGTCATCCTTCTCTGGCAAATGCATTCATTGTGCTAACAAGTGATGCTGTAGCACCCGCTTACTTTGTGCTTATTGTTGATATCTTGTCCTCTGCTGAACAAAAGCTGCCACAAAACTTCCTTTTCCTTTTGCAGTCAGGAGGAAAATGCAGTGCAAGCTTACATCTGGCACGAGCAATTTGTCGTAGGGCAGAGAGGAGGTAAGTTACTGAACAGCATCTTCATTTTACTGCCAGCCCAGCAGTGTTGCGTCAGTGTCTCTTACAATTATTTTGCGTTTAGACAAATTACTGCTGATAAACAGAATGTAATTGAAAAAAGGCCTGGATGTAATTATTGCATAATGGTCAGCATTTTTTTTTCTTAGAGGAGATTTTAATTTGTGGTTTTATACTGTCATACAGCAGTAGTGCTGCTTTTGCCCAGCACCCCTGTGTGTGTGGGTGGTGGGGGGAATGAGAATGGGAATGGGGATGCGGATGCAGGACACAGTGAAAAACACCAGTTGTGTGAATAACTTTATTAATGTTCCACTACCAGGAAAAACACTCGTGGCCAAAAACCAGTGTCAAGCTCAGCCCCATAACGGGCAATGCCTGTGCGGAAGAGTGAAGGGTACTAATCAAATCAAAATAGTTTGAGGGGGAAATAAAGCATTCCACTCCCCTTGGTGCTCACCTCTCCCTAAAGACATCGAGAGTGTTGGTGGACACTACGTGCTCCTTCTCCAGGGACACCTGGACTCGAACATAGCTGCGGAAGAGGGGCAGGCTGTCGGCCGTAATGACCCCCTTCATGGCCCACTGCCTGTACCTGTTAATGGCCAGGCTCAGGAGCAGACCCGTAATGAGATTCTCTGACCTGGTCAATCCACACTGGGTGCCCAAAGGTCAGGAGCATGGGGCTGAAGTGCAACCAAAAATACAAAAGAAGATTCTTCAGATAACTAAAAAGGGGGGTGCAAACGCCCACACCCAATATATACTTGGTCCATGGACTCCACAGCACCATAGAACAAATAGTTGGGATGGGAGTCTGTGATCCACTACAGTCTGCGGTTACAAGGCACTGCTGTGTGCAACACCCTTCACCCCAGACCCCCGAGGGAAAGAGGGAGGACTCCTGTGTAGAGAGCCCTGCGCTGGGGATCTCCACTTCTCAGAGGCAAATGGGCACGCCAAGGCGTGTCAGAGTGTGGACAAAGGAGAAGAGGTGGATGGTGTGCAGCAGCAGTCTGTACAAGCAGCAGCAGTCTGTACAAGGCCTGCCGTTTTATTTCTTTAAAAGATGTGTAACACAAATTCCAGAGGCGGCTCAGGTTGTGGGGCACAGGCTCCCAGGGGATGTGTGGGATCTTGGGGCCAATGTGAAATTCTGTCCGAGCAGGGATATGCCCAGGCCCCCGCCACCCAGCAAGTCCCTGACCGTGGTCACCTTGCAGCCATGGCCCTCCCCTCCACCAGCCAATCAAACCCGCAATCGTGGAGGTGCAGATTCCTGTGCAACGGCTCTCTGATAATAACTGCTTCTCCTGATGGAGGGTAGGCTCAGCACGAGTTGACCATGTCCCAGACAGTGATCAGGAACTGGTAAAAGACAGGCAGTGTCTTGAGGGCGACCTGCAAACCCTCATGGTCAATAAATAGGAGCTGTGTGTTGTAGTTGAGGTTACGCACCTGGCAGAAAAAATACATCGCCAGGCCAAACCACCTAGGAGGATGCTCAACATAAAGGCATCGCTGCAAGGTCTGAAGGCAGAAAGTCGCCACCTGGGTGTGGATGACCACCAGCAGCTGACCACCCTCCTCAATAGGCAGACTCAGAACCTGTGCCATGACCCAGTGCATCTTTTTGTCCCAGAAGAAGTGAACCAATGTTTTCTGGATGTCAGTGACAAAACCAGGAGAAGGGACCAAAGGGACCAGCTGGTACCACAACATGGAGGCACTGCCACTATTACATAAAACCCCCATGCATGGGCAGCTCCATTCTGGCTAACAAATAGTGATATTGAGATTTGCTTTGGAAAGAGATCAGGTTTAACGCTTTGTGAAATTTAATAATCACAGCTGGCATCACTATAGACACATTGTCGTTATCCATGAAGACTCAATACTGAACTATGAGGTGATGCATATACTTGAATATGGGGTAAAAATAAAGGGACACCTGCCAGAAATTCCAAATTTAATAAAGCAAACCCATTTTAAGATTTTGTTCTTCTGGAGTTCACACTAAACTGCTGTTTACCTATGCATTTGCCTTTACCAGCATGTTCCGTGTCGTCCAAGCTGGAGAAGCTGACCAGAATGCTGCAAGATACCTCAACAGGTAAATTAGTTTTATTGAAATTGTTAATGTGAAGCTATTTGAGTTGTACTGGACTGGTAAATGAACATCAGGATAGGCAGATATTTACATTAAAATGGAAGCAATACTGCAGAAGATGAGTGGCTCCCTCTTAGCCCCCTACCAATAAGGTGGGGTGTTGGGGGAGGGGGGCAGTAGTGAGGGGAGAATGAATAAATTGGGCTTCATTGTATTTTATACTCGGGATGGTAATGAACAGTGAAAGACTTTTATCACTCACAGTCAGTATAAAATTTCCAGGGATTCCAAAGCAGTTGCAGAGTAAAGATTGTTTTAAACTGCCCAGCACATAATTTAACCATGGTGTGAATTTCTCTTCCCAAATTAGTGGCTCTCTGAGCAAAGGTGCCTATCATTTAAGGAGACTTTCTTCGTTAAAAACATTTGGCCTTGAGAATGTCTTGTGATCCTTTCGGTTGAGTATTTCATCTACCTGTTGTAAGCTAGGCAGCAGAAGCATTTTATTTGGATTCTTTATACGCTAGCTGTTAATTGCTATGTTGGCTTACTAGACGTGTGCGGGCATTGGCTGAGAATATGGACAGCATAGCGGCAGTGAAGCTGTTCGGTATGAAATAGTAGTATGGTTGCTTATTCAGTAACCTGGAGGATAATAGCATTTTCTAGAGGAGGACAAATATGTGGGATATTATCAAATTTAAAAACAAAATCAATTCATAGAATCCCAACAGTGTGGAAGCAGACCACTTGGCCCGTCGAATCTACACTGACTCTCCAAAGAGCATCCCACCCAGACCCACCCCCTCCCTATCTTATTCCCGCATTTCCCGCCCTAGACACAGTGGGCAATTTAACGTGCCATTCCACCTAATCTGCACGTCTTTGGACTCTGGGAGGAAAACGGAGCACGCAGACGTGGGGAGAATGTGCAAACTCCACACAGTCACCCAATGCTGGAATCTAACTCGGGTCCCGGGCATTGTGCGGCAGCAGTGCTAACCACTGAGCCACTATGCTGCCCCTCAAGAAGTTCAAGAAAGCACCTACTTAGGTAAAGTTTGGAAAGTGGTTCAATCATCATATTTGCCTACAATGATCTGTCCTTGGTCACAGAATTGTACCTTTTCTGATCTTTAATACTTTACAATGGTTATGAACCTCTGATTTTCCTTTTTCCTCATAGGCTAAGTGATTACCTGTTCACATTGGCAAGGTATGCTGCTATGAAAGAAGGGAAAAGGGAGCAAATTTACAAGAGACCATATGCAAACTAGGTCGATGTCGCCCTAATGTCCACCTGAAATGAAGATGGGTGATCCCTTTGTTAACTGATTTATGAGAGCTATTTTAGCTCATATTTTTAAATCCTTGTATTGATAGCAGTGCTATCTTCCTTTTGTCTTTTGAATTTCAGTCAATTGTTGCTATACTAGTTACCTGACATTGCGTTGCTTCTCTTGTAGAATGAAGTTGGTTTGCTCTTTAACTTCTCATTGCAGGTGATGGCAAAAAGTGATTTTTTTTTTTTTTAAACAGCATGTATATTTTTAATTGCTTAGTTGTACCTTCAGACACTTGTGGCATGGTGATTATGTCCCTATCTCTGGGCCTGGGGTCAAGTCCTATCTGCTTCAGAGTTGCATTATAACCTGTCTGAACAGGTCAATTTAAAAATACCTGAAAACACTGAGCTGTCTTTGAGCCTGTGCTGCTAGATGGACAAACCATTTGATGGAAAGCCAAGCACAGTTAATAATCCTGGACTCATATGTATCAATGACATCTTGCACAAAATGGATCCATTCCAAGTGCTATACTGTATGCTCTAGGGCTCCCAATCCTGGCTTTGGATGATCTGGACACTCAGCAGAGGAAAGTTCCAATCTATTAATGAAATAAATTGACAATAGCTGTCTTCTCAGAAGAACTGTATTTGTCTTTTCTCAAAAAGATGTTTTATTTATTTTTCTGTTCCTTCTGCCTAACTATCAAACAAGCAGAGAAAATGACTTACTTCCAGAAGTTTCATGAGGCAAGAACACCCAGGACCATTCTTTTCACTGTGGCACATCAAATGTTTGCTCTACCTACATGTATGAAATGAGGTATTAAAATTAGGAATTCCATTTTCTGTTCCACAATGCAGAGGTGAATATTTTTTTATAAATATTGATCTGATTTAAAAACAGAAAAGGCTAGGAAACACATTGGATCCATTTGCATCTGAAAGAAAGCCAGATGACAGCTAAGTTGTCTATTCAGCTGCTTTACAATTTTTATTTTTGCAGATATTCTAGATACTGTTTCCTACAGTAATTAGGGTCACTGAGTAATGATTATTCTGTTTTGTCAAAGATATCTTTGCATCACTTCATTTCTGAATTCATCCTATAAAGCTTTATTTTCTATGAATTTTGTGTTGCACTGAGTGGGCTAAAAAATTCATCTTCTAAATGGTTATTTGAAGAAATCAGTGAGTATATTAACTCCTTATTTTTAATTTGCTGAAAATGAGTATTGTGCAGTTTTATATCAGCACTGGCTAAAGCACCCATGCTATTTGTTAGCCAAAAAGACGATCATTTGGATGGTCTCCAATCTTACACCACATTAAGAAATCGCCATTGCTTTCTTAAAACCCTTTTCAGTGTGATTCTTTACTGTAGCTGTAATCTCCCTGTATTTTCTGAGGAACATAACAGGAACTAGGCTATTTAGCCCCTTCCAAATTGCTTTGCTGTTCAATTAAATTGTGGCTGATCTGCAGCCTACCACTATACCGGTCTTTGTCCCATATCTCAAAAATTAACTTGACCTATTTGGGAAAGTCTTCCAAGTGCCTCCTGGCATCCCTGATGGCTTTATGCAGGTCATATCTGGATTTTCTGTATAGGTCTGGGTTGTCCAACTTGAATGCTGCATGCCTGGTCTTCAGTAGGCAGCGGATTTCCTGGTTCATCCAAGATTTCCATTTGGGGAAAACTGGGATTGACTACGTTGGTACATAATAAATAAGAATCAAAATTAGAGCTCCATCCTAGACAAAGCAACCTGTTTAATCGATACCCTGTCTGTCACCTTAAACATTCAATTCCTTCTCTACCCATGCACTTTGCTGGAATCGGAGACCTACAGCACAAAAACATACCCCTCAGTCCACGTTGACTATTATTAGAAACTAAGCTAGTCTCACCTACCTGCACTTGGCCCATATCCCTCCAAACATTTCTTATCTAAATGTCTTTTCAATGTGTGTAATTGTGCTTGCATTCCCCACTTCCTCTGGAAGTTCATTCCACACACAAACCACTGTGTAAAAAAAGTTGCCCCTCATGTCTTTTAAAAAATTTTTCTCCTCTCACCTTTAAAAATGCCACCTAGTCTTGAAATCCCCCACCAGATGGAAAAGATCTTTGCAGTTCTCCTTATCGATACCCCTCAACCTCCTATACTCCAGTGAAAGAAAGTTCCAGCCTATCAACAACTCAAATCCTACATTTCTGACAACTTCCTTGTAAATCTTCTGAACCCTCTCCATCTTAATAATCGGTATACGGCTACAAGAAACATTGTAGTAACTTACTATGGTATGACACTCCCACCTGGAAGGAAGAGGGCTGGATGCAGAAAGGAACCACCATCTCACGTCCCTGTTTAAATCATAGATTCTCCATGATCTTCCTGGAGGTAGCCAATTAGGAAGCCCACCTCCAAGATCCCTTTCCAAATAATTATAGCAGAGGGCTGCAGTCACATTCAGTGTAGCCTGTGGATATAACAGGACTGGCTGCGGTACAATGGAAAGGCTGCCATGGATCAAGTGCAGTTGAAATGGAGATGAAGTTGCTGTAATGGCATACCTTCTGCTTGGGAGACCTTAAGAATTATTGCCAGCAAATTAGTAATTAAATTGTTACGTGGTTCAGACCTCCCATTGTGCAGCTGCCTCCAATGCATAATCAATTTCCTGATGTGTTAGGGAATGTGCAATGCAAAAACTTGTTTCCACAAAATGACTATTACTTGAAGTCTCAACTACGTTAAATTGTTTGTCTCCCAGAACTAGAAACCAATCTGTGACTACATCACTATTTCATACCACAATAAGTAATCCTCACGTATGATTTTGGAGTTTATGGACTATGTGTTGTTTTAATCCTAATACTGTTGTCAGTTTTGCTCTGCATTTAACATTGTTAAAATCTAGAGTCTCAGAAACAAACAAATAAACAAACAATCTGAATTAAATTGGGAGTAAGATTTTTTAATAGCATCAATAGATAAACCTGCTTAAAATATAATATACAATCAATGCCCAAGAAATTCACAGGCTAATCATAACTTAGTGAACTGTATAGTAAACTTTTCTAACCTGTTATTCAAAATAATTTGGTAATATTACTGTCTCATCTCCCAAGACCACGCAATTGTCAAATTCCCTGTGCATCAAAATGCCTTTTAAAAAGCTTATTTTACATTAAATATTCACTACTTAGTACAAATTATAAATAACAATAGATGTTGCTTGGTAGTTTTAAAACAAAATCCAAACTTGAGATTTAGATAATCTAACTTTCTGCATTCAAATACTTGAGATTTAGCAGCCTGCCAACATTCTCTGTACAGTTCCACATCATCCAGATTTAAGTTAGCAAAACAAGAAAAATAAAACTGACATAATACAATATTATTCCAAAAGTCTAATGTATAAACAGGAAGTCAGATGTTAGAATTTATATTTTCACAAATAACAAGCTGGGATGGGTTGTGAAAAGATGTTTGTTCATTAGTGACTTGATCATTTCCACTGGTTCACTGATCACTTGCATTGATTCACGGCTCATTCTACAATTATAAGGGGCATATTGGTTTGGCTGATCCAGTCAGTGCTGTGATTGAGGAAGTATGCAGGGAACCAGATACAAACAACATTGCCAAAACTATTTTACCAAACAATACATGAATTCCAGTACTGCCATCCTTTTCAGCTTTCATAACTGTGCACCTCCTGGTCTTTGACCAACATCTACTAAAGTAATTTTCAGTACATTTTATGACAGTAAACAATTGGCAAAATGTAGACACTCTACAATATTACTTTACACTATCCTTAGAAGAATCTATAATAGTGTGATCCTGGATTCATTTTTTTGAGACAGGTGTTAATGAATTCCCTTAAATATTCGACACTGTACATTAAATATTAGGCAATGAGATAAAGCTGGACTTTGGATACTGTGAATCAAACAGCGCACACTTCACAGGAGGTGGTCAGTTTCAATTCTATTTTGATTCATTGAGAGGTCTTATGTTGGTGATGGATTTCTATGAATGCCCCTTTACAGAAATGAATCAAAGATATTTGAAAGCCTTGGCCACTCAGCTTTACCCTGAAACACATCATGATCTTGATATCCAAATGATTCCTAGCTGTTGGTGAGCCATTGTATTTCTTTCAGCGACAAGAATTCTCTGATCCCAGCAGTCCTGTATAGCACAAAGGTGCATTCACACCCATTTCTTTGTGATTGGTGATTAGGAGAGTTCAAATCCAGTATTCATACTGATTGCATAGCGGAGCTTCTCTCGCAGGATGCTCTTTTTACTGTAGTTGGGTAGTTTAAGGAGATTGAAGCAGGTGGAAGAGGTTGGCAGCCGACCACCTGGTTCCTTTTTGCGGATGGTAAAGAAACCCCGAAGCACACTGCCCAGTGTATCTCCAGTGTCCTGAAGTACAAAGACATATTAAATCGTAAACCATGACTTCCCATAAAGAAATAGGACATTTCTGGCTCTGTTCAAAAATGTTGCTTCTGATATAATGTTGCCCTACTGACCTGTGTCTAATCCCAGCTGTGTTGAATTTATAGATCTCAGCTGAAACTGCAACATAATGTTGCTAAAATCAGTCTTTCTGCACCTTAGAGTGACCAATGACCTCTTGCACACATGCATTATTAGATATGGCTATAGTATCCTGCATGGTTGAACAAGTCTGATAACACACACTATTTGAGCTCACATAAAGCAAGATCATTCACGTTAGGTAGAAGAGAATCTATAATTGCTGAGGGAACTGTACCCCAGAATAAACCACCATCTTCAGGAGGGCACAAGAAAAACGTGTGTGTGTGTAAAGGCAGGGGGCTAAATGGGGAAAGAAAAGTGGAAATTAACATACATCTTACCTGATCATCTGACACCTCCACACAGCGA